TTGAATTCTTGAAGACGAAACCTCTGATCATTATCGAGAGTTTTCTTAGGCGACTTCGATTGTCTAAGATGTAATTAACTATAGGGGCTTGCTCCTATAGGGAATTTAAGAACCCAGATTAATCTAAACCCTATCTAATCTGTGTATTAGATAGGAGAATTTGTCGGCTATAAATTTTGCAGACCAAAATAGATTCATAAACTTTTAAGTTTAGATAGTTAAGCCTACCAATAAGTGATACGTCCATCCTTCAAGATGATATATCATTTATGGTATCGTGCTCAGCTGTTTAAACTATTAGTTATATGAGGTCTACTCGGTCTCATCATTATTCAAAATAATAAAGGATACCATTTTCACAAAATTAAAATTACATCATATATATATATATATATTAAATTATAAATATAACCAATAGCACTCATTAATATGTTGCTACTAATAACCGAGAAATAGCGAAGGTAAGCTCAAGTTTTCATTTTTCTATTCCCCACCTTAGTGCAGCCCACGTTTCACAACTCATCAGGAAGACATTTGTCAGCAGAAGCCACGTTCATTGTTCAGAAGAAAACAAAGCATATTTGTCTACGGATCATATCCCATGGTCGGCTTATTTGCATCTAATTTCTTCTTTAGAGCTAAAACTCAGATGCGCCAAGAAGCATAATATAATTCTAATTACTCCATCGTCAAACTTCCCAAAGAAACGCAGACATGTGCAATGCTTATAATCAACCATTCCCCTCTCATAATAAGCACAACTCTTAGCCGAGCAGAAGAGGAAAACAGAGATTTTGCTCAACATGTCCGAGTCTACCGTAGTTCTCCTGGATCATTGGGTTAGCCATTTCGCCAAGCGGATCAGGATTGCGCTGCGGGAGAAAGAAGTAGAGTTCGAGTCCAGACAGCAGGATTTGTAGAATAAGAGTGGACTTGCTTCTTAGATCAAATCCTGTTTACAAGAAGGTCCCCGTTTTTTTTGCATGATGATAAGCCGTTGTGCGAGTCACTTGTAATAATTGGCTATATCGATGAGTTATGGCCGAGCCCACCATTGTTGCCGTCGAGCCCTTATGAACGTGCTATCGCCCGATTCTCGGCCGATTTCATCGATAGAAAGGTAAGCCATTAATATTATTTTTAAGTGTTGCACCATGGGTTAGACTTACGGTAATATACCGATGTGTACCATATCAGAATGATTTAAAAAATATTAAATCTCACTTCAATAATTTTGAAATAAACTCCGTGATGTTATTTCAGAGTTATTGATGTTGAGCTGTGAAAATTATTTTTAGATTATTTTTGAATTATTTTGAGATTATTTTCGGATTATCGAAATAAAATATATGTATTTCACTCGAATAAATCGGAAATAACATCCAAGCGATGCAGCACACTCAAGTCCGGGACTGAAAATTTTTGAGGAGCTGGAAGCTAAACTATGAATAAACTCTACTCCTTTGACGCAGTTTGCAGAGGCCGCAAACAAGATATGGCGAAGCGCAGGGCCATGTGAGGTGCTGGAAGCAGCGAAGAACGAATTCTTCCATGCGTTGAATCAGCTGGAAGAGTGCTGAAAGAGTGAGGTGCTGAAAGAGTGAGGTGCTGAAAGCTTCTGGGTGAAAAGGATTACTTCGGCGGAGAAACGTTTGGGCTCGTAGACTTGGCTCTGATTCCATTTTGGACCTGGTTCTCTTCTTACGAGAAATTTGGGGGATTCAAGATAGAGTGCCCAAAGCTCGCTGCTTGGAAGAAAAGGTGCACGGCGAGAGAGAGCGTTGCCAAAGCGCTGCCGGCGCAGGAGAAGGTGTTGGAGTTTGTCTGCATTTTGAGGAATAAATTGGGAATTGATCTGTAAGCTTGTTGCAGATAATTCATGAACTTGGCCGTTTCTTGGATTTTGCTCTTTGAATTTTGAAGATGGCGACTTTTTTTTTTTATTATTTGATTCCTGAGGCTTAATTGCTGTGCGATTTTTTGGTTTGTTTTCAATCTATTTTGTTTAAGAGAAATTATCTATAACATTAAGCTTGTCTTCTTGTAAGTTGTTGCTCTTTTTGCTTGGCTTTCATTTTGAGCCAATGGTTGTTGTTGGCTATGGTGTGTTTTTGTGGGTTAGAAATAAAATTGATTATGGTTTATTAGATCTCAATTATGGCCTATGATCTTTTCTTGTTAACACATTCTTATAAAATAATATAAAAGTTGATAGAATTGAGTTGTTCATGTTAGAGTTATGAAGTCATATTCTTCTGAATTGTGTGCATAATAGTGAAGGATGATTGAGATGCTCTCCTTATTGAAAAATGGGATATAATGGCTTAGGGTTGAAATTTGGGTGAAAGCACTTGGGAAGGTCTCTCTCTTGAAATGAGCCTAACAACTCAAAGTCTAAAAGCATGGAGGCACTACAGAAAATTCTTTTAAGTAGGCGCGTTAGAGAAATGTAGGGTCGAGGAATAATGAATATATTGCAACAATCCATCTTCAAAATGATCAAACAAAGGAAGTTATCTTGAGAAAATTTTTCTAACACAAAACACAAAGGATAAATAATTAAAAAAAATAAACCCAAACACACAAAAATAAGCTATAAATTGGCTTGTTTGTGCTCCTTACCAAGTGGATGACAAACTTGTTTGTCCTCCTTATATAGTGGATGATGGGTGGCCAACGAGACGGGTGTTGAATGTTGGTGAGTACCATATTCATGTTATATGAATGATTTTTATTATAATTAGGGATAATTTAATCTTTCGGTTTTATTTACTTATATGCTCTAATTCTTTTCTATAAAAGAGACCAAGGGTACATTGAGAGAGTCATGATGAGAAGTGTAGAAATTAGAACGCAAAGTTTTTTTTTTACCCCTCATCCGTTGCTACTGAAATCTCTCTCCCCATGGATGTAGATGAATCAACTCAATGTTGAATCACATAAATTGTTTGTGTTTGATTGTTGTTGTATGAATTTCTTCTTTTTCATACTGTTTCGCATAACAATTTGTATTAGAGCTTCGGTTTCGGGATCGAAACATGGTTTGGCTTCTACAACAGCAAATCTGGCATGTGTTGCCGACGTTTTTGCAACAAGTGGTTTGACGTGCTTTGCTGGCATATTCATAGATTTGTCGATGGACTGGTGGCTTGGATGCAAAGATCCGATGAGCCGACAGAGGTGAGGCTCAAGGATTAAGTCCAGTGAGCTTTGTTCTGGCGACGGTTTCAGCGGTGGTTTCAACAATGGTTCCGACGACCGTGGTTCCAACAACAATCTGGCATGGTCCGGCCGAAGGATTGGCCGGGCGACAATAGACGGTGTTCAATGCGGTCAGGTGGAAGCTTTGTGTTGAACAAGAAAAAAGAGGAAAGTTTTTTAAAAGGGAAAAAGAATTTTGGAAAAATATTCTTTTTTTTTATTAACAAAAAAAGGAAAAAAAAAGATCAAAATTTATTTTTTTTTTAGGTGAACTATTTGTTGTTAAATTTAGGGCAAAAAACAACGTAAATCCAAAAGAAGAACGCAGAGATTTAACGAGGTTCGGCAAAGATGCCTACATCCTCGGGAGCAGAGCGGTGAATTCACTATTTCAAAGGAGTTACATACCCATAGGGTTATACATCTATTTATAGATAAAACCCACAAATAATTACAAACACTCCCTTGCTACCCCCAACCCACTAATCCAAGTGACACACCTCTTCACACCAAGAGACACACCTCTTAACTCCAGGAGACACACCTCTCCAAATCCAAGAGACTCTAAATTTCTGTTATATGAGCCATACCTAACACTATTTTTTTTGCAGGTTTCCAAAAATAAGAAGAAACATTATTCCAGAGAATATTTTATTTTGCAAGAAAAAATAGTTTCTTATGAAAGATATTTCAACAGTGGTAGCAATGAATGATAACACGATTTAAAGTTGTTCAACGTTCACTATGGCGGTAGAAAAGTCGTAGTTGTATTAACAAAATATGCTTATTTTAAGTCCATTTTAATTTGTTAAAAATGGATTTTTGAGTCTAAATTATATATGTTATTTGTAATCACAAAATAACCAATTATGTAATGTTGATATAGATTCTCATATTTAAATAAGGGGTTATTGGCCGAGCACAAGGTGAAAATATCATGCACAAGAGTCAATAATTTCTCTCACCAACGTGTGTTTCTTTGAATTTTCTTAAGAGTTTCCTTGAAAATCCCGCTTTCTCCAATTGTGACTTTGTAGCACGAATTTATTAGTGTTATCTTTCAAAGAAGTTTTAACATTACTTTAGCTGCGAACGTAA